GGCTCTTGTTATTATTCTCGCTTTCCTTATTCACTAGCTATATTTTATCAGTCATTAAATAAATGTCACAATGTTAATTAATTTTCCGTCGAAAAGCATCGCTAATCTATGTTCTTCGTTGCTTGTCTCTTAGAGTATATACAATCACTGATCAGGCGTTGTCGGCAGCACCACCCTCCATAGCTGAAAAAGAACATCTAAAGATAGAGATGAAGAAACAAGACACGGTAGGAGCTGTTTGCTTGTCGTATAATTGCCATACACGTGCGTGTGCCGCATCCTCATTACTGTAATTATTCTCATAAGTACGTGTATTATTCGCTAATTATGCTGTAATTAATTAGCCGCGTGTATAAGTACATTTAATGTTCTTTTCGCAGTCTTCCTCAGAGAAAACCGCAGGTGAGTTGGCACAGGAACTTCAAGCTATAGAGTTTGGAATCCAGAGAGCTCACAATGAGATCATTGAGGTAGGTGATGCAGGCATGTCCCGCTAGCAAACCGTTGTTGCATTGAACATTAGTGAACGGAGAATCCCACGTTTGGCTTGTGATCAGAGGTTCGATTTGCCTATCCGTCAGAGAGAGATAGAACCACTCCCCTCTTCGATGTACGTAATGTCGTTGCTAGGTCGTTCCTAGGTCGTTGCTATGTCGTACGTAATGTCGTTGCTAGGTGAATCGAGACCAGTTTCGATGTGTTTTTCATGCTCGCACACCAATTTATTGATTATGCTGCACGTCGTTGCTAAGCAGGTTTTTTAGAACGTTCTAATACGATAATGATTTGCTACTGTCGCCTGACGTCAGTCTAGATGGACAGGTCTATTGTTATCAGTAAGGTTTTACTTGTTTCTACCTTCACTTTAGGAGCGAGAGAAGATGTACACGTTGTGGCAAGCGTGAGAGGTCGACAACCAGTGAGAGATCGCAGGGAAATGCATCAATTTGTTAATCAGAATGTCTGCAAGCACAATACTAAAATTGCAGTTACTGTATCTCTTTGTCTATCTGTCTCTCTCTCTCCCTCACTCCCTGTGTCTCTGTCTCCCTTCTCTGATGGATTCATCGTTTCTTTTCTCCCGTTATACATGTGTGCATGTGTGTGGGACTAGTACTTTGAATTTCCGTTAGTGCAAGCATTTCGTTATCAGTTATATTGTTTTGCGTGGCGTACTTATGTAGTTATTATGAAAATAACGATTAGCATCATCATCTAAGTTGATTTATTGTATCCCCCACGACGAAGTCAGCGGGGATACTATGGTTTCATGTCTGTCCAGCCGTCGCCGCCGCAGACACTTTCCCTTCCGCTCTATAACTCGACCCCTAATTCACCTAGCATGACCAAACTTGGTATACTTACACATCTTGGGGAGAAGGTGCGCAGCAGGCCAAAACCAGGTCACTGCGACCTTTATTTGACCATTACCTTGACCTTGATCATATTTCCTTCCGCTCTATAACTCGGCCCCTAATTGACCTAGCGCTACCAAACTTGGTATACTTACGTATCTTGGGGAGACGGGGTGTCGCGTACCAAAACCAGGTCACGGCAACCTTTATTTGACCTTGACCTTGACCGTGATCATATTTCCCTTCCGCTCTATAACTCGGCCCCTAATTGACCTAGCGCGACCAAACTTGGTATACTTACACATCTTGGGGAGAAGGTGCGCAGCGTACCAAAACCAGGTCACTACGACCTTTATTTGACCTTTACCTTGACATTGATCATATTTCCCTTCCGCTCTATAACTCGGCCCCTAATTGACCTAGCGCTACCAAACTTGGTATACTTACATATCTTGGGGAGAAGGTGTGTCGCGTACCAAAACCAGGTCACTGCAACCTTTATTTGACCTTGACCTTGACCTTGATCATATTTCCCTTCCGCTCTATAACTCGGCCCCTAATTGACCTAGCGCGACCAAACTTGGTATACTTACACATCTTGGGGAGAAGGTGTGTCGAGTACTGAAACCAGGTCACTGCAACCTTTATTTGACATTGACCTTGACCTTCAACATATTTCTTTTCCGCTCTATAACTCGGCCACTAATTGACCTAGCGCGAGCAAACTTTGTATACTTACACATCTTGGGGAGAAGGTGTGTCGCGTACCAAAACCCCTAAGGCAACTAATTTTAACATACTTGCACATCTCAGGCAGATGAGTTGTGTAACAAACCTTTGTCTTTGTGACTTATTTAAAGGGATAGTAGACTCTAGGATTTTACTGCATACAACTGTACTTACTGTATAACAAATCGTCTATACCCACATGTATTTGTCACCAGATACCTAATTTAATTGTTATCACACATTACACATCAATGCTACGAAATTTGAACGGCGCCATGACACCCGCGACTTTGCTGCCACCCTGGAAAAGTTGCGTATTTGCCAATTTATTTTGCACGTTACAGACCGAGGGCTAATCACAAAGGTGCAATTATATTCATACCTAAATGCTATTTAACCGAACGATGTTCATTTTAGAACAAATTTATCCATAATATAACTGAAACTATATGTCGTTTATAAGATATTACAATTCTTTTGCTTTTAAATTAATAAATAACAAACACCCTCGGTCTGTAGCCCTTGGCTGTAAAGTGGTTTTGCGCAACATCAGATCGTGCGCTTTGAGTGGCGCCACCGTCATTGTAATCAAACTGTAGTCGTTAGTTTTAAAACATTTTTTAATAATATTTCTAATGGTGATTGAACCATGCAACTTTTTATGTAGCGTAATTTTAACCTAAATTAACTGAAAATAACTCTAGAACCTAGAGTAAACTATCCCTTTAACTTTACCTACCTTCTACGTCCTTACCGAGATATTTCATTCATACTAGATCACGGGGGATACATGTAGTTGGCGACAACTGCCCTTTCTAGTTATTATTATACATTTTTAAATTATAAAATTAATAATTATTGTTACATTAATTATGTTATTAACAAATTCTTCCTCGATGGAAACACTACGTATCCAGCAAGCAAGTAATAAGCATAGTGTTGTGGTATTCGTGCTTGTCCTTGGTACACTGTATGACTATAGAGAACATATAGTAAGCAAGCTAGCATTGGAGTAAAGTTACTGCAATAATTGTTTTTTTTAATAATCTGCCTTGTACGTGCAGGTCGCCTGTGTGTGCATTCCTTGGCTATAGAGCTACTTGTTTGATCAAACTGATGATTCCCAGCTTGTGGTTACATGTGAACAATTCTGTGCTCGGTGTTGCCCTGTGTCAGACACAAAAACGTGACTATACACTGTATTTACAAGTAGTCAAGCCTATAATAAAAAATACTTCAGTGATACGTAAGGCTACATCGGCGCGTCATTGCATCCCCGATGGGTGACGTAAGACCCATCGCGACAATATTCTACGTTATCGATCAGAGCTAGTCTAGCATAGCAGCAAACTGAGGTGATTTGTAGAAGAAGTAATTTATGTTATATTTGGGCCAGTGATAATCAGCACTGTGGGTGTAGTATTGCGTTATTCGTGCACGTAAGTCGGGGTGTAGGTCCAACTGCTGCTGCAAACTCGCAGTAGAGTAGATTGTAATGCAAATAATTATGCATGGATCTATTATAAATGTTGTTTGAGTACTCACATTGAGAAACTAGAACACGGGGGCTTGTTTCTCATCCAATCATGCAAGTTGTAATTGTACGCGTAGATAGACGTGTGTGTCCGTCGTGAAATGATTGGATTCAACGTTACGTGTGTGTGTGTGTGTGTGTGTGTGTGTGTGCGTGCGTGCGTGCGTGCGTGCGTGCGTGCGTGTGTGTGTGTTCAGTAGTACTGTTGTAGCTGACGCGTCAACGAATAATGTACTGACATTGCCATACAATCGTGTTCGATATAATCATGTATTCCAACTTATTATGATTATGATAATTGTTACGAGAGTTATTACGAAAAGGTATATTATGCACCTCTCCGAGGCAGCCACCTTTTACGATATTGATACCTCAATTGATATGTAATCATGTTTGGTATGTGGAGAAATTTTTCCATGAGTAAGCGTTACAGGCGTGCTGCATTGGGTTTGCCAGAAATATTTCGACGGCTTTCAATTCGAGGGTTTTTCGGTTTTTTCGGTACACGCTCTTATAGCTGTGGTAACATTTTACAATTCATAGTGAATTTTCGCGGTATAAATATGTTATTACATTGGATCGTCGTAGGTTCGAGTGCGTGCGTGCATATCTAATTCAGAACGTGAAAGATTCGGCTTGAAATATCCCCAGCCGTTCCATCTAGTAATTGGCTAAAATCTAATCTACTCCTACGGTAAACCTCGACTGCATTTCAGCGCAGATGAAATAATAGATGTTCTTCGCATTGATATCTATGTGCACGTACATGGGCCTACACCTAATACAACTGCATTACGCTAGAGCTGTAGCTAACTGATTTTGTCTGGATGGGTGGGGGGGTGGTCAAAGCCACGCGCGTGTTTACTCTGGGCAGTTCACCGCTGACCATTGGCCATATAATAGTATCAGGAGGGAATAATAATAGATTATTATTATTCCCTCCTGATACATGTAGTATGGTAGTATCTATATTTGTCTGGTGGAACTGGCCCCCTTGCCTCACCCTGCTAGCTATGGGCCTGCACACCTATATACATTTATTCCGTATTATAGGACGTCTGCGGTTTCTGCTCGTCGCCACACTGTCGTTGCAAGCAATCGGGTTCCAAGTACAGAACTGTATTCTGATTATATGTTATAATGTAGCCACACGTTCTCGGAACATATGTTACTACTAATGCATCTTACTGCTGTACGCACTAATTACGTGTTGTTAATATGAAATATTAATAATGTATTGATGATTAGCTCTGGCCAGTTTCATGGTAGACAACGTTCGATGTATTATTGGGTATTTACTCATTTCTAGCAGATAAATCGTGTGAGATTTCGATAGTCCTCGGAATTTTGGATATATCAAATGTGCTAAATATAGTAATAGCTGTTGTAAAACAGAGTAACGTCTTCATTTATTTTTTGTAACTAGTCGCAGGTACGTGTGCAATTGGAACAGAGCAAAAAAGGCAATTTATACATGGTGACTCACAACAGCGGGTAACAAATGACCGAATAAAACGCTATCGTGAATGATAAAACAGAATGTGAGAGAAATGACACAAAAATAAAACGTATTATCAATCACGCAATGCGACAACGCATTGCTCATTATTTTCCGTGATTTTAGATTTGATAGTAAAGAGTGAGTGAGTGTTGGCTGTTTCACGCAGGCAGGCGTCTGGTGTGTTGCAGGCAGACGAGCCCAGGTTTCACGCAGGTTTACGGTAGACCTCCGTTATAGGTGTGCTGAACTGAGCGTTCCTCTTAAACGGCGTGTCCTGTGTGCTGCTAAAACTGCTCAGACCCTAGAACAACACAGAATGCTACACAATCTACAGTTCCCCATCTCACCTATACGTACACCTACCTGCGGCCTCGTCTACTGCATACGTACACTACGTACATCATACTAAAGTTTATTAAAAAACAAACTTGTTTTTATTCAGTCCTCGTAATACTAAATGCGTAATTCTGTCATGCTATCCAGTTACATAGCTCATGATGCTGTAATACTACATATATAATGCTATCATACTACGTACATTATGCTATCATACTACGTCCATTATGCTATCAAATTACGTACATTATGCTATCATATACTATGAGGTATGCAACATGATCACTGACGCTGTCGCTGTTTTTTCCCGCGTGTCTTAAATATTTCTGTTGCACAAAGTTCTCAGTAAATTGTCTAGCAATATTGCACGCAATGGCGCGTTCACGCGTGACTTTATACGCGGCAGTGAGGATAACAATTGCCCGGGTGTGTGTTCGAACATCATATTCCAGGTTATTGACTATACTCACGTGGATTCGGTGAGTGTGCTCTGACCAGAACGTAACGGGCTCGTCTACCAAGAGGTGTCCCTATAGACAAACACAAACCATGTAACAAGATCACATAAAACCTATTAAAAATTATTAAAAAGCCATTAAAATTAAAGTTATTAAAATTATAAAAACCTATTAAAAGATATAAAGAACGTATTATGCGCTAGTCATATTCATTTAATTTCATTGCGTATTTTTTTACTCGCATCACAGGATCGACACTGGCAAGATTTCACCAGTATTTTGTTGTTTTTTTTCCAGTCAGGATACCTTCGTGGGTACGGGTATCGTGGACTGAAAGCCGGGTATTCCGTGAGCGTGCTGAGTTGTGGACATGTATTCTGTCGGCAACGGTGGCTGATTCATTTTGGCTTCAACCTCTTTCCTGTATTCGTATAATGAATATGTCATCAATAATCCTCACATTCACACAGAACCTTTCATTGGTGTCAAGCAGGAAACATATAAACGCATGGGTTAATAATTATCATTATAAGAATATAATATCATAATAATATATAATATCATAATATTATTATGGGTTAATAAGCCCGTGCGTCGCGTGCCAGCGAGCGCAAAATTAAAACTGATAAATGTGTTATTTAATCGGTGCGTCACCTCACTTCTTCGTACATGGCTTTCATCAACCGCTCTTTCTTTGTTCCTGCAAAATAATGTGAATATGCCATGGTAGATTTATAGTGAGACCACTGTATCTATGTATTCGTATTACATGGGCTGCGGCTGCTGCGCAATATATCTACTCCTATTATCTACTCCTGATATATATGCACGAAACGCACTAACGCAAAACAGACGAGCACATACGCGCGCGCATGCACGCTCGCATGAACGATGAACGCGCGCGTACACGCACGAATATTTCATCCGCACATAGTTCGTTCATTCTCAAAGATAGACAATAGTATATAGTCACCTCAACAAATCCAGGAGTGTATAAAAGCTTCGATCTTCTTTTTTCGTATTCACTCTCTGATCGACAAATCTATAGACGGCAACACCTTTTTATCAAGAACAGACAAACCTGCTACGTTGATTCTTGGTTTCAGCTGCGTCGGTACCTTGTAGTCGGCCTTACAGGTCGACACGAAATCCGTCCACGTATCGGACGTAATGATGCCTTTGTGACCCAGCTTGTGCGTGTCCTTGTCCGGCGTGGTGCCCTCGATGTGCGACACACTCAGCTCCTCCACCCAGTTTCCCAGCAACGTTTTACCGATGCCCGTGTTGTGCGAAACAGCGTTAGACATGACGATCGGCCTTATATTTCAACACCTAAGCTTCAGTAGCTCCTTCAGTGGCTACGTAAGTATTCCCCCCGTTTTTCCAGTTGATAGCTGCGTCCGTCGTGCGGCGTGTTTACGTTATGGCGCCTGCTGTAGCAGCTTGCTCTGTTGCTATGCGGCCGTACACAAATGCCGCTGCCTGGCAACCAACGTCACCGATAGTAGAGTACACTTCTCGGATAGATTCCATTTTCATGGTTCACGTCTAGCTCGCGCCGTAGGAAATTCTGTGTGTAGCTGGATCGCCACGATAGGAAATACCGGTACGTCAACTCGTAACCCTATATAAGCTCATGTACTGATTCTACTTAGTTGATGGAACGGTAGCGAAGGAGAGCGGTAACTGATTTTTGAGCAAAAACTGGCGCTTATATGCGGGACTTAGATTGAATCATTGTTCGCATTGTCATTCCCAATTTTATTGTCTTAGGAAAAGAACTTTGCGTGCCTTTAATCTGTCATCAAAGACCGAATAAGGAATTCAGATGGCTAGCACGAGGATTTCGTCAAATTACCCACCTAACATCGACCCGACCAGGGCACCCGAGGCGTACGGCATTCGAAAAGTGCCGAAATTAAATCAGGCCTTGCGCGATAAGGATCTCATTACGAGGCAGCGGGCTCTCATGACGCTCTCTGACAAACTGCACGGCCCGGAACATGTGTCGGAAGCCATCCGCGTCGGCGTCGTCCCGAAGCTGCTGCGCCTACTGAAGGATGCCGACGTCGTCGTTCGGGAGAAGTCGACCGAATGCTCGTACGTCATCGCCGGCCACGCCGTCGGCAGAGCGGCGCTGCTCAACAGCGTCGCGACGAAGCGCATCGCCGAACTTTTCGACGACCCGGCCGACGTCGTGCGCCACTTCGCGTACAAGACGATGGGCCGCATCGCTGAGCAAGCCGTCGGCGCCGAGCAGATCGTGCAGGCCGACCTGCTGCCGAGTCTTGTCGGCAAGCTGCAATCGGAGCAGAGCTGCGCCTTCAAAGAACACATTCTCGACACGCTGCACTCGTGTCTGATGGTCGAGGCGACGTCGGCGCTCGTCTGCGGCGCCCTGGAGGTGCTGCGCGACTTTCTCGCGCACGAGAGCGTGCAGATTCGCGCCAAGGCGGCGCTGGCGATGATGGACGTCTGCTTCGCGCTGGGCGGCAAGGAGCAAGCGTGTGAGATCGGCTGCATCGCGCCGCTCGTGGAGCTGCTCGCCGAAAGCAGTCGCGACGTGCTGGCGAACGCCACCGGAGCGCTCGCGGCGATTTCGACGACGACGAGAGGGAAGTACGCGACGTACAAAGCCGGCGCGATTCGCTGGCTCGTCGAGTTGACGAAACACAGGAGCAGCGAAGTGCGGGTGAATTCTCTGAAGGCGCTGACGATGCTCGCCGAGATACCGGACGCGAGAACGGAACTGCTCGGCGACATCGCCAAACTGAGAGATTGCGTTAACGACAAGAACAGCGCGGTGGGAAAACACGCGAGCATTGCCGTCGGTGTCGTTACCTGGACGCCGTAGTTTCCAAGGCATTAATAACGCTCAAGGGGTCGTTGTTGTATCAGGTACTACAGATATGTACCCGAGGTACATATATGTATACACAAAGTGTACCAGACTTGTACTACAGAAGTGTACCCTAACCCTAACCCTAACCCTAACCCTAAACATACCTCATATAAAAATATAAACATAATACTAAACAACCTAAAACTACCTCGGGTACATATCTGTAGCACCTGATACGACAACGACCCCATCTGCATTAATAACGACGATTACAAGCGAAATTACGAGATGGTGGTTTTATTGCTAGTTGCGTTACGGGGAAGATTATTCGACAACCGTGTAATGCACGTAATTTACATTTCTAATCGACTTCACGTGTTTTTCATCTACATATTTTTGAAGTCAGATAATACGTTTAAAATATGGTGAATTTAATGATGCATAAAATTTCGCGATGGCGATGTGAAATGGAAAGGTATTGCATACATGTGACGTTTTATATATCCGTTTACACGGGTCGCGGCCGAGAGATGGCGGCACGTGTAGAGGGAATAGTTATTAGACGTTATCTATCTATCTATCTATCTATCTATCTATCTATCTATCTATCTATCTATCTATCTATCTATCTATCTATCTATCTATCTATCTATCATCTATTTACTATTTATATGCTATCGGCATGGCTATGCTATCTATCTATGCTAATCGGCATCTATCTATGCTATCTAGCTAAGCGATAAGCTAGATAGCTTGCTAGCTATCTCTTCGCTCTCTCTCGCGGTCTCTTAGTCTCTCTCGTCGTGCCTCTCGTCTCTCTGCTCTCTCTCGTCGCTCTCTGCTCATATATTATTGGCCTGCGGAACGTCGGTCGGCACAGTTGAACTGCTAAGATAATAATTTTCTTCGGTCGTTTTTAATGAGTCAGATACTGAGACTGCGGTGCCAGAACTGCGTGTAAGTGCATCGGTAAAAATCAGATATATAATATTCCTTTCTCAGCAGCATCACACCCTGGGTTTCCGCGTCTATGTCTATATTAATAGAAAGGGAAATTCGGGCCTGCGGACCGTCGGTGCGCCGTGACTGCTAAGATAATTTCTTCGGCGTCGGTTTTGTATGTGCAAACTGGACGCCGGGCGGGCTGCCATGACGTGTGCATGGTAAAAATCCTGATCATTTAATATTTCATTTTATCTCGGTTGGCAAGGCATCAGGCCGGCTGGTTTCGGCGTTATGCTATAT